GGTGGAGGGGTGGCCGCTGAGCAGCCGCTGAGCAGCCGCTTTAGGCCCTGAGGAAGCGCCTGTGTCTTCGCGGGGCAGGCCTGGGTCCTGGTGGGCCGCTGCTCGCTCGCAGTCGTTCAGTTGCTTCGCCTTCAGGGTACGCTAGGCCCAGGGCTGCGCATTGTGCGGCGCCCCGGCGGGCTCGCCTTGCCTTCCGGCAGCACCAGCTTGTCCGTGGGCCCTGCCTGCCCGGGCAGCAGAGGGTGAGACCCATCTACTGAGGCAGGGAAGGCCCCACAGTGTGTGTCCTGGCGCTGTGTGCAGAGCTGCTGCTGTTGGCCCGCATCGTGTAGCATACTGGTTAGAAAAGGGGAACGCTAATAAGATGATAAGATAAATAAGGATTGATCTGTAAGACCTCTCTTTTTCCTGCTATAGGGAAAAATACAAAATGGCATCAGGGACGGTAGCGAATGCTACTCCTTCAGGAGGCTCAAATGATGTGAGCCTGGAGGAACCAAAGAAGATGACAAGGGAAGACTGGAGGAAAAAGAAGGAACTAGAAGAACAAAGAAAACTAGGAAATGCACCTGCTGAGGTGGACGAAGAAGGAAAGTAAGGTTCACTAAAGCTATGGTTATTTGAAAGCTACAGGTTAAAAATGTCTCTTTTCATGCCATGTTTAAGGAATAATCATGGGGATGATGCATGATTTCTACGTGAGTCATTGTGGAAGTACATAGTTGAACTCTGTGAATTTGCTATTAACATTCCTGTCATCCTCAGGAAACAGATTATTTTTTTTTAAAAAAGTAGCTTCAGTGTTTATCCACTCTGCTTTATTGACAGTGCTGCTGAAAGGTCCCATCTATACAGCTACTTGCGAGTGGTATTTCAAAAGTGACCAAAACATAGTACTGGGAAATTTTATTATATACATTATCTGTTCCTTCTCTCTTGCTTCTGTAAGGCTCATTGCTTCTGAGAAGGGAAATATTGCTACTTTTGTGCTCAGTAACATTGCATAGAATAAGGGAATTAAGTTGTCAGGGGATTTAGGTGCCAAAAACTCCCAAGGAAAGTCTGTGTTTGTGTTTGAAAATTAGAGTTTAATTTGCAGTGCATTATAGCAACTTAATTATTTTTATTATCACTCCTAAAGCACCAAACTCTAATGTGAGAGTTATTTATTAGGCTAAGTTATTGTGGTTTTTTTCCCCCTGTGCTCTGTATTTATTACACAACATCTTTTACAGGGATATCAATCCTCATATTCCTCAGTACATCTCCTCAGTACCTTGGTACATAGATCCTTCTAAAAGACCTACACTAAAGCATCAGAGACCTCAGCCGGAGAAGCAGAAACAGTACAGCTCCTCTGGAGATTGGTACAAGCGAGGAGTTCAAGAGGTAAGCAGAATGGTTTGGTTTGGTTTTTTTTCATAAAATAAAGATTTTGTTTGATGCTGCAAGGAAATAATTTCTGGTTACTCATTTTTGAGGTAGGCAGGCGCTGGGGATTCTTACTCAGCAGTGTTTAGTAATAAAATATCTGTTTGGGTAAACTGTAGTTGTATTTAAAAATGAACTGGTTATTGAGAACACAGATAGGAATCTTGCCACAGGTTTGTACACCACCATCTTTTTGTTGTTGTCGTTTAGCACGCCATAGCAACTCGGTACCGTAAAGGAGCTTGCGAGAACTGCGGTGCGTTGACACACAAAAAGAAAGACTGCATGGAGGTAAACTTGACTCTTGTTGATGTTTTAATGGTTTGGAAAACTGTGGATTCTCATCTTGGTGAAAAATAGGTAACTATAGATAAAAATAACTAGTTTTGAAAAAACCTATTTTGAAAAAGGTTACAAGTATTGAAAGGTGGCTTGAAAACTTCTATAGTTGTGTAGGAAAAATTAAAGGGTTTACTCATCAATTCTGTTTGTGATAAGTGCTGCAATAATAGGTGCTTTATATTCATTTGCTGCTCTACTTGTCTTTCTGTTTCATGTCAGTGAGAAGCCATTCCCAGAAACTGTGTTTTAATTGCTTTCTTAATTGTGGAAAAGAGAGTTAGAAATTGATGGGGTTTGGAGTCAGTTGTGCTACTTTAAAATACAAACATGAACTACTTGTATTTACTTACAATTCACAGGCTTGTAGTGCTCAATTTAACTGGCCTCAGAGGAGCTCGATTTATACTATTTTTAAAGGGATATCTGAGTGAGTAACGTATTTTAGTCTAATGGACTGATCCAACCTTTTATTTTCCTTTCAGAGACCCAGAAAAGTTGGAGCAAAATACACAGGCATGAATATTGCACCAGATGAACATGTGCAGCCTCAGCTGATGTTTGATTACGACGGAAAGCGAGATCGTTGGAATGGTTATAACCCAGAAGAGCACATGAAGATTGTAGAGGAGTATTCCAAGGTTGATTTGGTAAGTGGTGCTATGGTTTACTGGGGAAAGGCTCAGTGTTTGGTTTGGCTGGGAGGAGGAATGCTTGTTGTGTGCACTGCTAACATGAGACTGTGCTCTGCTCATAATGAAAACATGAGATGGGTTCTGTGTTTGGTAGCAAACTTCACTTAAACTGAGAATTCAAATCAGAGCTGGCAACAGCTTACGGGTCTGTACAATAAATGAAGTCTCTCCCCAGATTGCTTACTTCTTAATAGACAAGCCTTAGAATTTGTTACCCAAGATGCAGACAGAATCACAGGCAAGAAAGGAGTTTATTATCTGGCTATATTAGAGCCAATAGATCTATATCTGTTTTGTAACCCCTTTCATGTTACTTTACTTATGAATTCTTTGTGTTACCATGATGGAGCAGTGGACTATTCCTGTAGTAATGAACACGTTTTAAATGACAGCAGTCACAAGAGATGCTCGTGCTAAGTGTTACTGCAGACTTGCTACTGAAAAGAAATACTAATGTATCTTCATGATATGCAGGCCAAACGTACGCTGAAAGCCCAGAAGCTTCAGGAAGAGTTAGCATCAGGAAAGCTGGAGCAAGTGGTAAGCAAACTAAACCCCAATTTATTTTTGTTTAGGCTGAATAAAAATACAACTGGTTGCTTCTGCTCTCTGATGCTTTTACTCTTTATACAAGGTCTCCTATTTTTTTAATCCACTTCAGTAATCTAAAGATTTTCCTAGCACCAGCATATTCTGTGTCACAATCTTTAGAGCATCTTTCACCAAGCAAAAGCCCATATACAATTGGGCCTCCACTTTCCAGAGGCTGTCACCTTGCATTTTGTCACTAGATGGCAGAGTGAACTTTATCTCCAGCCCAGCACAAACTGCAGTGTTCTTCCCATAGTAAATAGCCTTTTTCTTTCTGAGGCCTGTTTTCACCACAAGGCAAACATTGTTGGCTCCCATATACTTATTTCTCCTGGAGCTGTAAGAAGAAAAGTATGTTTGAGACATAAGAACTCTCTGATGGAGAGGACTGAGACTGATTTGCATTATCAGTGCTGCCAGTTTGCTGGTCAGGCTTCCAGCTAAGCAGGTTAAAAAAGTAAATTCTGGCTATGTTTCTCCAGATTAAATTATAACTTCTGATTCACGCTCAGTATTGCTGTCAATCCTAACTAAATACTGGCTTACATATCTCCTTAATTATTTTGTTGAGCTTTCACAGTTGAATCTTGGTTCCATTCGCATGATATGAAATATTCTAGTCTGAACCATTAGTGTTCAAAGGCAGAGCAAGCTCTAAATAACAGTGACAGTTGTAGAATTTGCTGTTCTTGCAAAGACTTGGGAATTTGGTTGGGAACACAATGAAAAGGTCTCCAACATGTCTGTAATAGAGACATAAGCTCTTCTCTAGAACATTAAATAACAGTGCCACAGGTAAATTGTATTTTGCATCCCACCTCAAGCCCTGCTTTGATGGCTCTCTATATCCCTGCCATCTTTCCCTCTCCACTATCTTGTCTTCTCTGCTGACCCGCTCTTTGTTTGCTGCAGAGCTCCCCAAGACACCAGTGGGGAGAAGAGGAGCCAAACTCGCAGACAGTAAGATGATTTCCCTCTGCATCACACCATGGGCAGGAAAAGGCACCTGTAGTTAGTGGAGCCGTGAAACAAGGGTGGCGTGAGGGTTTGGATGTTGGGTTCATCCAGTGGGTGCCTGTTCTTTAGGGCAGAGGTTGTGGGATTTCATAGAGGGGTTTTTAGTTTTGTTTTAATTCCTGTGTGTTGTCAAACCTTAGAGATGCAAGCAAACAGCTAGCTTTTAGTATGTGGCAACTATATTTTGCCCAAGAACTGTTTTCTTAGTATCATCACAGTTACGGTTTATAACTGTTTCCACATGAGGAAGTTGAAATCCTTTAATAGGAGTACTTCTGAAAGCTGTTAAATGTTAGATTAGCATGTTACTAGCGTGACAGCACACTTAAGCCCAGGTAAACGATGCTAGCTTTTAACTGCAGAGATTGCAGAATTTTTCGTGAAACCACTAAAATGAGATTCCTGTACTTGTCTCCAGAGTGAATGTCCTCTCTCATTTAGAAGTTTCCCATCTCTCCTCAGGAAAGAGATCACAACAGTGAAGACGAAGATGAAGATAAATACGCAGATGACATTGATATGCCTGGGCAGAACTTTGACTCTAAAAGACGGATCACAGTTCGAAATCTACGCATTCGGGAAGACATTGCAAAAGTGAGTACATAATTCTTTTTGGATGTTCTTTTGTGTTCATCAGAGTTGATTTCAAAAAGTTGTACACTCCATTATTAATGAGTTTGCATATGGCTCTTGGGGTTTGGAGATTAAGGTCTATTCTCAGTTCTATTCCTGCTTATGCTATGGCTTTGTCAAGATTATCCTTTTACACAGAACTTTTAAAAATGTCCAAGATGAGGGATACAGGAATAGTTTCAGTTCTTTTAAAACCATAAATATTGAATATCTTGTGTGTTGTTTTCTTTCCCTAGTACTTGAGGAACCTAGATCCAAACTCTGCTTACTATGATCCCAAAACAAGAGCAATGAGGGAGAACCCATATGCCAATACAGGCAAGAACCCAGATGAGTAAGTGAAAACAATTTTCTATCCACAAAACTCTGGTAAAAATGGGACTATTTCAATAGCTTTGTATATTCTTTTATCCGTATGTCCTTTCACTAATGAATCTCTAGTGAGTTACGGATAGAAGTAGTAGTAAACACGGAAAAATTGTTTTATATAGCAGCACTTCTTGTTTTAGTGTATAGAAGTGTTATTTTGGTAATACTGGCCCTTAATCTTCAGGCATATGTGGACCACCATTTACTGTAACAGTCTGTACAAGGACTAGAACACTGCTGTATCTAGAGGACATACCTGTAAATAATGATGTTTATGTAAAGTATTTGAATAACCAAATCCGAAACTTCATCCCTTGTTTGCTGGGAGGCATTCAGTGCTGGAGACTGGCATGGAATATCTGTGGCACCTAACTAAATGCCTGAATTAGGAGCAGAAGCTCCTCATCTATTAAAGGAGTCTGCATAGCAAAGGTCTGAAAGCTTTGCACTGTCTAGATAGGCAACTTAATTAAAGAATGCCATGGCTTTTGGCTGCATGTAAGGCTCTCATTTAAAAACTTGAGTCAAGCACTTGAGCTGTGACCCCACCTTGGCCTGCCATGGCTTTTGGCTGCATGTAAGGCTCTCACTTAAAACCTGAGTCAAGCACTTGAGCTGTGACCCCACTTTGGCCTGTGTAGTGCTGTGGACTCAGAGTAGACAGGCTGTGAGTAGAAACATTTACTCAGAGAACAGTAATTGGGTTAGCTCGCTGCCTGAAATGGAATGGCAGTGGCTAAACGCTAGCAAATAATGCTTAATGCTCCTCCCACCTCTCCTTGCCCCCAGCGAGAATAATGCCAGGGTTTTTTTAGATGTAGATGCTTTCACTTTTCTCCAGAGTCGTAATTTGACCTTTGCTGAATCTGTGTTTCTGTCGCAGCTTTGCAGACTGTAAATATTTCAGAATGGCTTTCAGGAGTGTCATGGTTTAAAGATCTGATACTTTCATTTCATGATTTGAGTTCAATGCTCCTTCTTCTCCCTCCGTTCTTGACTCTCGGAGCACAAAGGAGAATTTTTACTGTCCTGTTGATGTTTTGTGATTGTATTAAAAGGAAATCATGTTATTTGAATGCTAAGAATCATGTTGTTGTTTTTCTGCAGAGTTGGTTACGCAGGTGACAACTTTGTCCGCTACACTGGAGATACCATTTCAATGGCACAGACTCAGTGTAAGTGGGTTTTGGTTTGGGGTTTTTTTATTAAATTGACTTAAAGGACTTAAGTGAGCAATGCTTCTTGATGCAAAAGAGAAGTCTTTTTAGATTGAGGCTTTCTTTAAAACTATTACAGAATTAAAGATGGTAATTTGAATGAATGTGTCAGTTCTCGACTAAATACTGAGTGAAACCTCTTGTGTACACAGTGTTTGCTTGGGAGGCTTATGACAAAGGCTCCGAAGTTCATCTTCAAGCAGACCCTACAAAATTAGAGCTACTTTATAAATCCTTCAAAGTGAAAAAAGAAGACTTCAAGGCACAGCAGAAAGAAAGCATCCTAGAGAAGGTAACAGACACTTGTCTCAATTTAGTCACATTCTGTTGAGTTTGAAGTTTCTTCTAAACTATTTTATGTCATTCCTGTTTGCATTTTAGTATGGAGGACAAGAACATCTGGATGCCCCACCAGCTGAGCTGCTGTTAGCTCAAACAGAAGATTACGTGGAGTACTCCAGGCATGGAACAGTCATCAAAGGACAAGAGAAAGCTGTTGCTTGCTCTAAATACGAAGAGGATGTAAAGATCAACAACCATACAGTAAGCCCTGGCTTAGGTAAAAATTAGCAAAAACTGAGATTCCTTCCCATTGGAAGGGAATGAGGTACGGTAGGAGAGAGTACAGTGTAATTAATACAGCAAGTACATTTCTCCTGTCTCAAATGTGACACTTTCCCTTTTCTACTAAGGAGGAATTTCATGTTGTCATGGGTGTGATGTGAATTTGAGGAGTTGCAATGGCAGCCTTAAACTGAAGCGGAAGTTACTGCATTTCTCTTTGACTTTGAATATGAGTTGACCACATCCTGTTGCTTTGCTCTTGGTTTTGAAACTGTACCTGTAAGACTAATGTAAAATTGCAAGAGTATTTCTCATAACTTTCCTTTCTGGTTTGTTTGAATAATTTACTTACCAAGATATAACCTCAGGAATAAATCACAGCCTGCCTGGTACAGGAGTTATGAGTGTGGATGTAACTGCATGGTGTCTTCTCTTGCAGTGCATTTGGGGTTCGTACTGGAAAGAAGGCAAGTGGGGTTACAAATGCTGCCACTCATTTGTCAAGTACTCCTACTGTACAGGAGAAGCTGGGAAGGAAATCGCTGTAAGTATTGTCTTAGTCACTTGGAAAGAGCTGAGAAGCATTCATCTTCCTAAGTTTTAGACCGTTTTGCTCTTGTTTTGGTGGGGTTTTTTGTCCTTCCCCTTTCAAACATGCTTAGTAAATGGGTATCCTTCCTCTTGTCTGCTGTGTAGAGCACTGAAGCAAGCTTACTGGAAGAGCAACCCGGGGAGGAAGAACACCTGACAAAACCCAAAACGCTGATGGAGGTAGGTTGTTTCCCTTGCTCAGGAAGGGAGGTACTTTTCCTCAGCATTTTAAGAGAGACAGATACATGTAACTACAAAATCATGTAAATCACGAGTCTGAAAATTATTAGACTGCATTAATAGATCATTAACATCTCTATTGAAAACTAAGCCCTCAAATAGCATTAATAGACACCTGGGATTTAATGGCTTAAACATTAATGTTTGCAACTTGAATCATTTTTCACCTTTCAGATCCACCAGGAGAAACAGAAAGAGAAGAAAAAGAAGAAGCACAAGAAGAGCTCAAATTCCGACAGTGAGGGTGAAGAGAAAAAGAAGCAAGAAAAACTTAAAAAGGTGCCGTATACACTTCAGTGCTTTTGTGGCAAAAAAGAACTTGAAATATATTTGACAACAGCATCGGTTTTATGAAGCCTGTAATGCAGTTCTTGTGGGATTCTGGGGGATGTTATTTGGTGCTAGTTTTGAGCTAAAGCAAATTTAACATGCTGTTAGATGTTCTAAAGAACGTTCCCTATTTCTCAGGCAAACACGTAATAAATACTTAGTTTTGGAAGACTTAGTGTAGAAGATTTACAACACTTCCTTTTCAGGCACCTATTACAGCTGTAGATCTAGAAAAGACATTGATTGGGGTATTTGGAGAAAGCTGGAGAGATCAAAGGCTTAACTGAGCACTTTTTATCCCAGACTTGCGCCCAGTCTCACATTTGATGCAATAAATCCACCACCATCTACTGACAGCTGCCAGACAGCTCTTCCACAGACGCAGCAGCCTGCTGCTTGGCATTCAGGGTGTGAAACTAATGTATTTTAAAAAGCACTTAAAAAAAGTGCACCCTGACTGGAAAACAAACCGACCCAAACCCCCAAGACGACATGCTTGCTTATCTGCTTTTGTACTTGCTGGACCACGATTACATTTCAGGCAAAACCAAAGAGTTCCTTAATTGATTTTGGCAGTTAGATTAAAATATCTTGCTTGCTAAATACTATTTTACCATCACTTTCTGTTAAACACTAAAAAATGAGGATTAAATGAAGTGTGCTGTAGGTGGGCCAGGGAGATGTGTGTTGCTTACCTCACCATTCTGCCTGCTGCCTGTTCGTTACACTGGAATTTAATACAAACTTCCAGGGGCTTTTTTTGCTTTAACTTCCACTGTGTTATTTTTACCTTCTTCTTTGCTTTAATTGCAGGCCCTAAATGCAGAAGAGGCTCGTCTTCTCCACGTTAAAGAGATCATGCAGTTGGATGAGAGGAAGAGACCATACAACAGCCAGTATGAGACCAGGGAACCGACGGAAGAGGAGATGGAAGCCTACAGAATGAAACGCCAGAGACCAGATGATCCCATGGCCTCTTTTCTGGGACAGTAGTCACCATGAAAAGCAAATACAAAGGACATTTTTCATACCTGTTTACCTTCCTCTTGTCTAGAAACGGCAGAGACCTCTTCTTTACACCAAAGCTGCTGGTGAAAACTTCTTTCAACAGACATAAGCAGTCCAATATGTACAGCAGTTTTGTGTATGTATACATGTACAGTCAGAAATAAATACACACATGTATGTGTAAAATACATACACCTACTCTAATTTCTTTATTGGAAAAGATCTGATAGTGGCTGGAATTCTAGGTTCATTTGGCCAACTAATCTATGTGTAAGTCATGATACATTCAGTATAACTGACTTCAAAATAAATGATCAGCAGGTGTCAAATAGAACAAAAATTGTTGAAAAAAAGAATGATGAAGCCTTTTATTTGTGAGGGGAATTGCTGTCACGTGGCTTTAAGAGGAGAAATCTTGATCTTTCTTGATCACTCTGTAGTAAGTGTTTTGGAAATGTAAAAATTGATTGCTCTGTACAGTTTTGGTTAAATTAATATAAAGGGCTTAAATGCTGTCTCGCCTTTCTCATGAAGAGGTCAGGAGAAGCTGACTGTAGAGCTTTTAAGCTGTAATTCTGTTTCTGCAGTTCTGAACATTATAAATTTGAGTTGGAAAGATCAGAGCTCTTTGGTTTTCTGTTTGATAAGTGTTCATATTTCCCTTCCTGAGTCCCTTTACATGGTGTAATACCAAGGGCCAGGCTCCAATACCTTGGGATAACCTGGAGCAGCACCTGCTTTGTGTTTGGCAATATTAGTCCTTGAACTTGGGCTTTTCCCCTTTAACTATTAAAAGCTGAATAAAAGGGTGAAAATCTTCACAACTCTGGGAATTATTTGTCATGTCTCCAACTGTCCTATTAAACACAGCTTTTATAACCACATTTAATGTTGTACTAATGGTAGGACAAGGAAGACTCCACAAACCTTTTTCTTCTTAAAATTAAGAACCTGATTATAATTTCCACTCTGTAAACAACAAAAGAAGTGGGGTGTGTGTGATTTCACAGCTGCTTTGAGGACTGAGTAATTGAGGGGACAGAAATGCTAACGATGGAGATCATTTATCAGAAATAAACCTCCTGAATTCTGCCTTGGACATCCTCATGTGGCTGGATTTGCTTTTCCATACCTGGCTGTGACTTTGCTTCCTGGTCTCGCCCTGCTAAGCTGGAGCCTGTGGGGAAGGTGGAGCAGTGTCCTCCAGTGAAGCAGAAAGGCAGCTCCAGGGGAAAAAAAGCAATTAATAGTGTTTTAGTCAAAATTAACAGGGTTTTATTCAAAATACAGCTCCTTCAGCTTGTGAATGATGCAGAGCAGACCTCATCTGGATCAGTCTCAGCAGTTGAAGCACAAATAAAACATGCTGTCCTATTTATATCATGAAGGTTAAATGTTCAAGAACAGTGTGGATCTGATCACGAAGATTAATTTTCCCCATCTGCTTCCCTTGGATTTGGCACGCAACGCGACAGGGAGCGGTCTTTGGATACATAGAATCACACGAGAAGAATTTGTGCTTTCTAAAATGAGTTTGAAACAAGTCTGTAGGCTCGCTTGCACAAAACCAAGCGTACAGAGGCGGCTGGAGCTGAGAACTCCTGTTCCTTGCATGCACAAAGTGAGAGGAGAGGAAATTCCTTAGCCTGGGAACACCAACAGCTCAAATTCCCAAATCACAACCCAAAACCCACCCTCCCAGCTCAGCCAGCGCAGCTCTCGCTGAGTTGTGCCCTTGGCAAACCCCCAGAATTATTTTCTCCGCTCCCTTTTCAACAACTGCTTCAATTCCCTCAATTTTATCCTGTTGAACCCTGGCTGGGCTGTGCCAGTTCAGAGACATTTGCATCTTTAAACCTTTATTTTGTGTTGAAGAGTTCAGCATTCCATGCTATCTTCCAAGGCCAGAAGGGAGCTCCTTTGCTGTCACTGCACGTCTTTGTAATTGGGTCTTTATGGCTTTCCCGAGTGGGTTAATGAGAGAGAGAACCATAGAACCATAGAATGGTTTAGGTTGGAAAAGACCTTTAAGATCATCGAGTCCAACCATTAACCTAACACTGCCACGTTTACCACTAAACCATGTTCCTTAGCACCACATCTACATGTCTTTTAAACACCTCCAGGGATGGTGACTCCACCACTTCCCTGGGCAGCCTGTTCCAATGCTTGACAGCTCTTTCCATTAAAACCTTTTTCCTAACATGCAATCTAAACCTGCCTTGGTGCAACTTGAGGCCATTTCCTCTCATCCCATTGCTTGTTACCTGGCACAAGAGACTGACACCCACCTTAGGACAACTTCCTTTCAGGTAGTTGTAGAGGGTGATAACGTCTCCCCTCAGCCTCCTTTTCTCCAGACTGAACAACTCGAGTTCCCTCAGCCACTTCTCATAAGACTCATTCTCCAGATCCTTCACCAGCTCCGTTGCCCTTCTCTGGACATGCTCCTGTGCCTCAATGTCCTTCTTATAGTGAGGGGCCCAAAACTGAACACAGTATTTGAAATGCGTCCTCACCAGTGCCAAGTACAGGGGCACAATTACTTCCCTCCTTCTGGCCACATTATTTCTGATACAGGCCAGGATGCCATTGGCCTTCTTGGCCAGCTGGGCACACTACCTGCTCATGTTCAGCCAGCTGTTGACCAACACCCCCAGGTCCTTTTTTGCTGGACAGCTTTCCAGCCACTCATCCCCAAGCCTGTAGCACCATCCTACACCAGATAAATTGTTTGGGGCTGTTGAGGGCTCAGGGAAATGCAGGAATGAGAGCAATTGGGTAAGGATGAAATGGAGTTCAAGCTTTTTGGGAGAAGAAACATTTTGCCAGATGCAACACAGAATCAGAAATGTCATTTTTAACTTAAACTACTACTTTTACATTAAATACATCTGTTCACATCTCGTAGATGACCCAACCATAAACCCATCGGGGTAGCAGACAGTGATGATTTTTTGCTTCTTCAAAATCCGCTTTGCCTAAGAAAACCTTGCTCAGCAGCCAGATTCACAACCCCAAAACTTCTAATACACAAAGTCTTAAAAGTAGATGCAGTCATTCCAAAGCGTTTCAAAAACAGCCTCCACCCAGCCACAACTTCGCTCTGCATCTGCATCCAAGCACAGCCCTTGGCCCGTTGCTCCATAATCCCCAACACATCAGAGAATGGGACCTGTTTCTCAGCTGCATTTACCTCCTTAGCACACGTACACATGTTTGTTCGTTATTTTGGGGGTGATGCCATCAGCCCCAGGGAAAACGGCGGGGTTTGCTGGGCTGTGTCTCCTTGCAGAAGCAAAAGCACCGGGTTGGAGGTTTCAACAGCAGAGACGCAGCACAGCCCCGCACGATGTTCTGCCTAAACACTAATAATTTCTCAATATTTTAGGAAAATGGTTTTATGGAAAGACCATTTTGAGCGGATTATCTCTGAGAACAGAAAATGCACGGTTCTCTGCTCGGAAAGCGGCAGTGGGGGTTTATCCATAGCTGTTACTGCTCACACCAACGTAAGGGACTTTGCGCTCTTCTCCGGGGGATGCTGCGTTGCCCTGAAGGACAGAGGTGACACGGGTTAGTGACATTTGTCACTGCCTTTCCTGGCTCAGGAAACGCTGCCCATGTCCCCAGCACTGGGATTGCTGCTGCTGCTATGGACTCCAGGAGCAGGGCTGGAGTTTTGTGTGTTTTGGGGATTACAAGGCATTTTCAGAACAGTCTTTCCTTGTCTATGTTATTTAGATACCTAGGCAGGAGCCAACTGTGGTAATTCAAAAAAGATTACCAAATTTCACTTAGAATTTGAAGATACACGAGATAAAAGAAAAACCCCAACCGTAACACACCTCCTATGCTGTGTCTGCCGTGGCTCACTGGTGCTTGGGCTGCTTCCCACTTCCCTCCTCCTAAAATAAGCTCTATTTATTTTTATCTTAATGGGTCAGGGCTGCAGTTCCTAAGCAGAGCTAATGGTCTCCAGGGCATCCTTTAGGTTTAAACAGAGATTTGACTCATTTTTATGGGGGCTTTTGGAGAGGGACGATCGCTCTCTGAAAGCTGCTCACAGGCTTCCAAACTCCTTTTAGACAAGGCAGTAAAAATCATTTAAACCACACTAAGCCAGGAGGCCTTTCGGGTAGAAAACTGCTTTTTCCCTCCCATTACCATCCCCTAAAATAACCCCCAAAGCACCTACGTTCATCCATGAAGAGAGGAGCGCTTCCATTGCCGCTGCCCAGTGCAATGTGGGGGGGACAGTTGTATTTTAGGCTGCCTCTGGGTGAACTGCAGATATTTTGGCACTTGCTGAGCCACTTGATTTGGTTATGAAGTCGCTGCTGCGAGGTTGGTGTCCGTAATGGTGACATTTGTGAGGGTTCAGAAAGCAAACAAGGGAAAATCCTTCCTCGCTGGGACATGGTCCCGTCCGGCCGTCCCGGGGCAGGAGCCGGCGATTGCCACCTTTAGGCACCCAAATTTGTCACCCAAATCACGTCCATAGGTGATAACGGAGCTAAAAATCACACTTCTCACTCTGTAGGTGCTGGTGATACACCTGTCCCTTCCCACACGAACCACGCATCACCCCAACAAGCTTGATCTAAAGGATGCAAAGCCACAGCTCTGTGCTGGGAACATGAGGGGGATGCAGATGGGGGACAGGACCAAGGGGGACAGGAGCAGCACCCAACCTCTCATGCTGCTGCAGGGGCTATGAGGGCAGAACATCTTTGCTGTGGGGGGAAAAGCACCACCACAGCCCCCAACAGCCCATCCCTGATGGGCACCCACACCCCCAGCCCTATGCACGTCCCATGGGGTTTCCCAAGCCAGCTCCCCATGCCGCAGCAGTGAGCTGCCTTCCCCAGCTCGATGGTGGAAACCCCATCACCCAGGGGGAAGCTGTTGCTAAAAAGCAGCACAGAAGGGACGCGATCTCTTGTAAGGCTTCCCTGTAACCCCCAGCTGAAACCAAACGAGCT